CTGTTGGTATTTGCCTTTCCATAAGCCGTGGATGTTCACAGAAGATTCAGTACCTTCCTGTCTAGTAGCCGCTTCTTACGCATGGTCGGGGGTTCCAGATAGATTCGACCCCGCATGGCCAGCTCTATCAGGATGCCTCCTCGCAGGCCAGACGATATGCAGTCATTCCAGAAAGATGTGTAACCCTAGGAAAGGAGAAAAGAGAAGAGAAAGAACGTTCTGAGAGGGATACTGACTTCCAGCAGGCACCCTAAGAACAGGCCACTTCGGACAAACCACAGTGCTTCCATTATTCATATTAAAAAAGAAAAAAAATAAAAGAAGAAACAAATTGAAAAACAAAACAAAACAAGTCACTTTGTTGTGATTCGTTTTGTCTTATACCACATGAACTCAAAGCAAAGTATAGAGTAAGAGAAGAGGATGCTTCTTGAATCCTCTTAAACATCCCCAAATGTTTTGTTTGACCTCAAGATCATTAGTGAATTCCTATGGTTTGCTGTTAGTCAATAATTGAAGTGCAATTTTTTATTTTTATTTTTTTGAGACAGAGTCTCACTCTTTTATCTAGGTTGAAATGCAGTGGCAGGATCATGGCTCACTCCTGAGCTCAAGCAATCCTTCCACCTCAGCTTCCTGGGTGGCTGGGACTACAGGTGTGCACCACCATGCCTGGCTGTTTTACGAAAACATTTTTTTTGTAGAGAAAAGGTCTCGCCATGTTGCCCATGCTGGTCTGGAACTCCTGGTCTCAAGCTATTCCTCCACCTTGCCCTCCCAAACTGTTGTGATTACAGACATGAGCAACTGTGCCTGGCTTGACATGCAAAAATCTTAATTTTTGAGGAAAATTTTGGCTTTTTTGAAATCTGTTTCCATGACATTAAATTTCAGAGTGGGGTAAAATAAGACAGACAAAAGTAAAAACCATTTGAGCTTTTAATCCTCTTAGATATGTGTTACTTTGAATTCTTTCAATGGGAGGTATAGTAGAAACCCACTCTAGTTAAGTGACTTGGGTATGTTATTTAACCTTTCTGAAATACAATGTCCTCATCTATAAAATGCAGACACTAATATGTATTTTCACAAAATTGTTGTGAGGGTTACATGAGATGCAGTATATAAGAAAGCATTTAGTATGGTACCTGGCATATAGCAGGCACTTAAAATGTTAGCTCCCCTTCCCTTTGTATAGGGAATATATAAAGACTTATATAAGAGAGCCACTGGTATTGTCTAATAGCAGTAATGCCTAATTACTAATGTCTATTGAATACTTACTATATACTCGATGTGTGCTAATACTTATGTACTAGATTTGTGCTAAGCTTTTTACATGCACTGTCTGATTACATCTTCACAACAACCCTATAAAGGAGGTTCTACACTATCCACACATTAAAGATCAGAAAACTGGCTGGGCGCGGTGGCTCAAGCCTGTAATCCCAGCACTTTGGGAGGCCGAGGCGGGTGGATCACGAGGTCAAGAGATCGAGACCATCCTGGTCAACATGGTGAAACCCCGTCTCTACTAAAAATACAAAAAAAAATTAGCTGGGCATGGTGGCACGTGCCTGTAATCCCAGCTACTCAGGAGGCTAAGGCAGGAGAATTGCCTGAACCCAGTAGGCGGAGGTTGCGGTGAGCCAAGATCGTGCCATTGCACTCCAGCCTGGGTAACAAGAGCGAAACTCTGTCTCAAAAAAAAAAAAAAAAAAAAAAATCAGAAAACTAAGGCTTACAGAGGTTACGCAGCATAACAGAGGTCAGAAAACCTTTTAAATAAAAAAAATTTTAAGTGGTTTTTTTTTTTGGTGGTGTTTTACTGATAGATCACAGTTGTGCATATTTTGGGGTACTATTTATTTTTTTTTAGAGACAGGGCAGCGTCTTGCCCTGTTACCCAGGCTGAGTTGCAGTGGGACCACTGTAGCTCACTGTAGACTGGAACCCTGGGGCTCAAACATTGCCCTGCCTCAGCCTCCCGAGGAGCTCAGACTACAGGCATGAACCACTGCACCTAGCTAAAATAACTTTTATTTAAAAAAATTTAAATTTGATTTTCCTCTTTATTTGCTTGGAAGTTAGGTACTTTTCTTTTAGAAGTTATCCTTAAAATTTTAATATGCATGACACATTAATTTAAAATTAACATAAAACCTAAATTTTAACCACTCTCTCAGTTGTCCAATATTTTCTTTTTTTAGCCTCACAAATTAGATAACATTATCATCATTATTATTTTATACAGGTAGAACTTGTTTAGATTTACACAGGTGCTTACGAATTTCTTTGCTCACCATTCCTTCTTGTATCTCAGACTTCCTTTCTGGTACTATTTTCCTTCTTCCTAAAATAGAATTTCCTTAAGTGAAAGTCTGTTGGAAGTAGTTTCTATTTTGCTTATCTGACATGTCTTTGTATTTCACCATCTTCCTTGAAAGACAGTTTCTCTGGACATAAAATTCCAGGTTGATCATTTTCTCTTATCACATTGAAGATAGTATGCCCTCCTCCTCCGGCTTCTGATACAGCAGTGAGAAATTTATCTTTCTTATTGATTGTAGTTTCTTTGTAGGTGGTGTATCTTTTCTTTGGTCCTTTAAGATCTTCTCTCTTGGTATTTTGCAATCTGACTATTACATGACTGCATGAATTTATTTATCTGTTCGATATATGTTCTGCTTCCTGTACCTGTGGTTTCATTTCTTAGCCTCCATAATTCGCAGCTCTTAGGTCTCTAAGCACTTTGGCTCCCCTCTATTTTCTTTATTCTTTCCTTCTGGGACTTCAGTCTTTCTTATTTTAACCCCCTGTCTTTTAACCTCTCTTTTATATTTTCCGTTTGTTTTTTCTCTATATTGCTTTCTGGAGGGTTTTTTTTTTTTTTGAGACGGAGTCTCGTTCTGTTGCCCAGGCTGGAGTGCAATGGCATGATCTTGGCTCACTGCAACCTCTGCCTCCTGGGTTCAAAACATTCTTTTGCCTCAGCCTTCCGAGTAGCTGGGATTACAGGCACACGTTACCAAGCCTGGCTAATTTTTGTATTTTTGTACAGATGGAGTTTCACCATGTTGGCCAGGCTGGTCTTGGACTCCTGACCTCAGGTGATCCACCTGCCTAGGCCTCCCAAAGTGCTGGGATTACAGGTGTAAGCCACTGTGCCCAGCCTCTGGAGAGTTTTAAAAAAATCTGGCTTCCAATTTACTAATTCAAACTAACCCTGAGATTTTGATTTCAACTATTTTTCATTAGTAAAAGTTTTATTTAGTTATTTTTCACATTTGCCTGGTGATTTGTGATTTTTTGCTGTTCATTTTGTGATTATTTCTTTAAAAATGTCATATTTTTAGTCTGATTATTTTAATATGTGATAATATATGAGGTCCTTGATATCTTGACAATATCTGAGGACATTATTTGTCACTTCTGATTCTTCCTTGTTTGTATGTTTGATGATCATTGATTAAGACGTTCACATTTAATGTTTTGTGAATTTATGAGATTCTGGAGGCCTAAATTGAAGACATCCTCCTCCAGAGGGAAAGGTCTGCATTTGTTTCTGCCAAGAGCCAAGTACGGAGGGATTATGGGAGTGCCACACAACTGGGAGCACATTTGAGGCTAGTTTCCCCACTTTACCTCAACTATCAAGCTTATTCCTGACCAACCAATTCCTGAATCACAAGACTAATTAGGTAATTTACCCCAGGGCAATCTGGTTTTCATGTTTTCTTGCTCACCTCTTGGATTTTAATTTTGGTGTTTGTTTGGGGGCCCCCTTGAAGATTATTTCTACTTTCCAAGGCTCAATAAAACATTACAAATTAAGCTTATTCAAGACTTAATATCTGACTACCATACTGCCAGGGCTAGGGGACCTCTAATTCTATTTTTCCTGCTCTAGCCAGGACAATCTTTAACATCAAGTGTAATGATATAATTCCCTTCCCTCATGCTTAAAAATCTTTCAAACATTCCTCTCAGCCTTCAGGATGGAGTCCAAATGGCTTAAGACACACTCAAACTAAGTGGCTGGTGGGGCACGGTGATCCCAGCTACTCAGGAGGCTATGGCAGGAGGATCACTTGAGGCCAGGAGTTGGCCAGCCTTGGGCAACATAGTGAGACCTTGTCTCTAAAAACAAAAAAACAAAACAAAGTGGCTATTCACTAGTCTCTTCTTTGGCCTCTTTCCCCTGTTGGCCTTTGCACATACTGCTCTATCTAGAGGAACCAATATTCTTCCTTGCACAACTCCTTCACGTAGTTAAGGATTAAGCACAGGTGTCACATTTGCACATAACCCTCTCTAACATCCTTTACGTCTCCACTCCACCCACCGGATGAGGTTCTGCACCTGGGTGTGCCTCTACATACTTCTCTGATAACATCTATATCATATTGCAATCAACTGTTTCTCCTGACTAGACTATAAATTCCTTAAGGAGAGAATATCCCTTATGACTAAAAAAAATTTTGAAAGCATAAACTTATGCTTAAAAGTAAGTGTTAACCTGGCAAAAGCTCAGCTTGAGCCATAAATTTAGACATCTCCAAATTTCCTGAGGGCCTGATCTCTGACTCAAGGTTGGGATGAGCTCCCTCCCCTGCCTGCCTCACGGCTACACCAATGCATATTTGTGTTGTTGTTGTTTTGACTGGAGACACAGTATCGCTCTGTTGCCCAGGCTGGAGTGCAGTGGCACGACATCAGCTCACTGCAACCTTCACCTCCCGGTTCAAGCGATCCTCCCACCTCAGCCTCCCAAGTAGTTGGGACTACAGGCGTGTGCCACCACACCCAGCTAATTTTTGTATTTTTAGTAGAGACAGGGTTTTGCCATGTTGCCCAGGCTTGTCTTGAGCTCCTGGGCTCAAGTGATATGCCCACCTTGGCCTCCTGAAGTGCTAAGATTACAGGTGTGAGCTACTGCGCCCGGCCCCAAGTCATATTTATGACTTCTCTTTAAGGAAGGGGTAGGCTATTTTTTTAAAAAAAACTAGTACACTTTTTTTTTTTATAGTTTATCTATCTAATTAAGGTTAAACTATAACTTACTTCAGAACACATATTTATGTAGGCGTAATTTATAGGTTATTTTGGTAATAAATCTTAACAGGTGTGCAAACATTTTAGTCAATATTAAAGCAACTGGAATAAAGTTTTCCTTATGGTCTTGTTTCCTCCTGACCATGTAACTTCTGTTTCAGTGACAGTGACATCAGATTGTCGACAAAACTATAAATGAGGAGTACAAAGAAATGTTGAAGATCAGGATAAAGAAACTACATTTTTGAATGTCACCCTTTGCTACTGTACATCTCAAAACATGTAAAACTTTCCAAGTTTTTAACTTTTTTTATTAAGAATATGCAATAATAAAAGTATAAAAACATACATGTAGAGTTTTAAGAAAATAATTATAAAACAAACACTTGTGGCCGGGCGCGGTGGCTCACGCCTGTAATCCCAGCACTTTGGGAGGCCGAGGCGGGTGGATCACGAGGTCAAGAGATCGAGACCATCCTGGTCAACATGGTGAAACCCTGTCTCTACTAAAAATACAAAAAATTAGCTGGGCATGGTGGCGCGTGCCTGTAATCCCAGCTACTCAGGAGGCTGAGGCAGGAGAATTGCCTGAACCCAGGAGGCGGAGGTTGCGGTGAGCCGAGATCGCGCCATTGCACTCCAGACTGGGTAACAAGAGCGAAACTCCGTCTTAAAAAAACAAAAACAAAACAAGACAAAAAAAACACTTGTATAACTATAAGAAAGAGACTGGATTTAGAAAAAGATAACAACTGAGAAAAGAGAAAAGAGGAGAGTAAATGTCCCCCTGTACTGCGGGTACAAAAGATCAATAAAGACTACAGTATTGTCATCTATAGTAATATCTTAGAACAGATTGAAACAAATTTAGATGCAGAATAGCCTGGGGTTAAGGGAAAATACAATTATTTGTATTTAAAGGTTATTTTCCTCTTAGTGTATCTATCTAACTTAGTGAATTCTCCAGCCATTCATAAGAAAGATTCTATATTAGAGGGCTAATACTTTGGCATATCTGAGTAGGAAGACTAGCACGTACATACTGAAGTTCACCATTTGATCATTAAATCTCATTACCAAAGGCTATCTAAAGAAAATTTTAGGACCAACTGAAACCGATGGAACTGCCCACTATCTCATGACTAGAGAATCTTAGAAGGTTTACAGAATAAGATCTTTGGATAGTGGACTTTGTTTTGTCCTGACTTTATACAACTGTAGGCCAGGCGCAGTGGCTCACGCCTGTAATCCCTGCACTTTGGGAGGCCGAGGCAGGTGGATCACATGAGGACAGGAGTTCGAGACCAGCCTGGCCAACATGATGAAACCCCATCTCTACTAAAAATACAAAAAATTAGCTGGGCGTGCTGGCACGTGCCTGTTATCCCAGCTACCCAGGAGGCTGGGTAGGAGAATAGCTTGAACCTGGGAGGCAGTGGTTGCAGTGAGCCAAGATTGTGCCACTGCACTCCAATTTAAGCAAAAAGAGCAAAACTTCCATCTAAAACACACACACACACACACAAAAATGTAGGTTGGGCGATGTTGCTCATGCCTGTAATCCCAACACTTTGGGAGGCTGAGGTGGATGGATAACCTGAGGTCAGGAGTTCAAGACCAGCCTGGCCAACATGGTGAAACCCTGTTTCTACTAAAAATACAAAAATTGGCTGGGCATGGTGGCAGACACCTGAATCCCAGCTACTCAGGATGCTGAGGCAGGAAAATTGCTTGAACCCTAGAGGCAGAGGTTGCTGTGAGCAGAGATCATGCCACTGCACTCCAGCCTGGGTGACAAGAGTGAAACTCCATTTCAAAAAAAAAAAAAAAAAAGAGAGGAAAAAAAACCAATATAGAAATGTATACTTTAGAAGGTGAAAGTGTTCTGGAAGGAAATCTACCCTCTCTAGATGCTCTTTATTAAGTTTATTGTGTGTTTTTTTATAGATTTTTTTTTTTTTTTTTTTTTTTTGAGACAGAGTTTCACTCTTGTTTTCCAGACTGAAGTGCAATGGTGCGATCTCGGCTCACCGCAACCTCCGCCTCCTGAGTTCAAGTGATTCTCCTGCCTCAGCCTCCCGAGTAGCTGGGATTACAGGCATGCATTACCACGCCCGGCTACTTTTTGTATTTTTAGTAGAGACAGGGTTTCTCCATGTTGGTCAGGCTGGTCTTGGAACTCCCGACCTCAGGTGATCTGCCTACCTCGGCCTCCCAAAGTGCTGGGATTACAGGTGTGAGCCACCGTGCCTGGCTAGATTTTTATATACATATTCTGTCATATGTTTATATTTATTAATATTATTTATGGAAATGACATTACACTGAGTGGTAACTTTTTTCATTTACTCATTATTTTGGATATCATTCCATATCAGTAGCTATACTTCTTCATGCCTTGTAATGACTGTATAGTATTGCATTTTAGATGCACTGTAATTTATCTCTCCAAGCCACTACTGATGTACATTTAGGTTGCTTACAGTATTTAGCTATTACTAAAAAATGCTGGCTGGATATGGTGGCTTAAGCCTGTAATCACAGCACTTTGGGAGGCCGAGGTGGGTGGATTACCTGAGGTCAGGAGTTTGAGACGTGCCTGGCCAACACGGTGAAACCCCATGTCTACTAAAAATACACACACACACACACACACACACACACACACAAAAAGCCAGAAATGGTGGTGCATGCCTGTAATACCAGCTACTCGGGATGCTGAGGCGGGAGAATCCCATGAAACTGGGAGGCAGAGGCTGCAGTGAGCTGAGTTCGTGCCACCGCACTCCAGCCTGGGTGGCAGAGTAAGGCTCTGTCTCCAAAAAAAAAAAAAAAAAAAAAAAAGTAAAGAAATATTCATTTGTGTGTGTGTATTTCTGTTGAATACCTAGAAGAAAATTCTGGGTCAAATATTACACATATTTAAAATTTTAAAATTGCACAATGAGAATTCAGTAAATTCAGACAGTCAACACTTTGTGCAGAATTTCTACTTAGTCAAGTATTCAAAGTGCCCTTCGTTATTCAAACTTCATTGAAAACATACCTTAAAACAACTCTGAAGATCAAAGATTTTAAAAGTTGCTTGCTTGGCAAAAAAAGGAAAGAAAACAAAACAACTTAAAGCATCATTAAAAATTACGCTCATAAGGAGTTTTTTTTTCCTTCCAGGCAGCGCTGAAGAAAGCTTATAACGAGTTTTGAAAATTACGTTAGAAAATACTTACGATATTGAATGAAAAATAGCGATATATAATTGAATATTCAGGATTATCACAATTATATAAAATACTGTCTACTTTCAAACATGGTTTTCTAACCTTTCCAAATTATCTACAGTTTAAAAAAAATCACTTTTTAAGGAAAAATTTCAGGAAAAAAAACCCCTCCACTGCCCCAAGTCTGAAGATTTAACACTAAAATTGCTTCACCTTCCATGAAAGAAGGAATGTTATCGTGTCTCATGAACCCTTTTCTATCTGCCCAATTCCAAAGCCCAGTGGAAGTATAATGATGTTCAGGGGTTATCAAAAATTCTACAAGTGAAACTAATTTTATTATTTTTTTCCTCCTAAAAAATTACTCTAAGAAAAGTTAGTGTGCTGTTTGTCCCTGAATCGCTCTATTAAAAGAGTGGTATTCAGGATTTGATCTAAATCCCTGATTTACAAATTAACATGGTTCATCTAAACTCAATTCCTATTTCTACATCCACACAGCTCATAAAGACATTTTATACGTGTATGTATGTACATGTATGCATCTACATATTTATTTATTTGAGACAGAGTCTCAATCTATCGCCCAGGCTGGAGTGCAGTGGTGTGATCTTGGCTTACTGCAACCTTTGCCTCCCAGGTTCAAGCGATTCTCCTGCCTCAGCCTCCCTAGTAGCTGGGATTACAGGCGCCTGTCACCACATCCAGCTAATTTTTGTATTTTTAGTAGAGATGTGGTCTTATCATGTCGGGTTGGTCTCAAACTCCTGACGTCAGGTGATCCACCTGCCTGGGCCTTCCAAAGTGCTGAGATTACAAGTGTGAGCCACTGTGCCTGGCCAAGGCATTTTATAAAATAGATCAAGCATTAAAAGCCCATTCTGTTTAATCATATTGAAGAATGAAGAACTGTGACCTGATGTTGTTCTGGTTTAACAGATGATTTCAGCCTGATTTTGAGGAATGGATTATAACTCTAGGACAATGGACAAAATTTCTTAATGAATGACATAAAGATTATATCCTTTCAGGTTTATTTTAAAAGGTGGGTAGGGCTGGGTGCAGTGGCTCATGCCTGTAATCCCAGCACTGAGATTGGCCATTGCACTCTAGCCTGGGCAACAAGAGCCTCTGTCTCAAAAACAAAAACAAAAACAAACAAACAAACAAAAAGGTGGGCAGAAAGATGCAAAGCTAGTTATAATGATCAGTTTATTAGTTTTCTCAGGGCCTTTTTTTTTTTTCTTTTTCTTAAAACCATTATCAAAAGTTTAGCAAATAAAAACAACATGCTAATGCTTTGTCAGTGAAAGGGAAATGCAAAATAAAGGAAAGCAACTGGTCATCTTTGAATTCCTAGATAAGCTTTAAATCTTATTCTGGTCAGTAAAAATATCTTTAGTTGTTTTACTCTAAAGATTTTTACTTTGTTTCCTTTTTTTGAGACATAGTCTCCCTCTGTCACCCAGGCTGGAGTGCAGGGGTATGATCTCAACTCACTGAAACCTCTGCCTCCTGGGTTCCAGTGATTGTCCTGCCTCAGCCTCCCAAGTAGCTGGGATTACAGGAGTGTGTCACCACGCCTGGCTACTTTTTGTATTTTTAGTAGAGACGGAGTTTCACCATGTTAGCCTGGCTGGTCTTCAACTCCTGACCTCAGGTGATTTGCCTGCCTCAGTCTCCCAAAGTGTTGGGATTATAGGCATGAGCCACCTCACCCAGCCAGAGAAAGGAATTTAATTGCTACACATTGTCCCAAGAAAAGAGAATGTTGAGAAGGTGGAGCAAAAATTTGAAAATAGGTTGGGCGCGGTGGCTCACACCAGTAATCCTAGCACTTTAGGAGGCTGAGGCAGGCAGATTGCCTAACTCGGGAGTTCAGGACCAGCCTGGGCAACACAGTGAAGCCCCGTCTCTACTAAAATACAAAAAAAAAAAAATTGGCTGGATGTGGCAGCATGCGCCTGTGGTCCCAGCTGCTCGGGAGGCTGAGGCAGGGGAATTGCTTGAACCCAGGAGGCAGAGGTTGCAATGAGCTGAGATTACACCACTGCACTCCAGCCTGGGTGACAGAGCGAAACTCCGTGTCCAAAAAAAAAAATAGTGAAAACACATCCAGGCTCTAAGTCTACCTCCCCACAACTCACGTTGATTTATTTATTTATTTATTTATTTATTTATTTATTTTTTTGAGACGGAGTTTCGCTCTTGTTACCCAGGCTGGAGTGCAATGGCGCGATCTCGGCTCACTGCAACCTCCGCCTCCCGGGTTCAGGCAATTCTCCTGCCTCAGCTTCCCGAGTAGCCGGGACTACAGGCACGCGCCACCATGCCCAGCTAATTTTTTGTATTATTAGTAGAGATGGGGTTTCACCATGTTGACCAGGATGGTCTCGATCTCTTGACCTCGTGATCCACCCGCCTCGGCCTCCCAAAGTGCTGGGATTACAGGCTTGAGCCACCGCACCCGGCCCCACGTTGATTTTTTTTTAAAACAATAAAATATTTATCAGTTTATTCATCCGCTTATCTCTAGTTTGATTCTGAGTGACTTATGGAAATTTTAGAAATTAAAATCCATCCCCCAAAGATATTTTTTCTTATATAAGGATTCCCAAAGCAATATATCTATAAAGGGTAGTCCAAATGTATCTAAGCATACTTCGACCAATTGTAGCATTTAGCCATCACAAGGGACAACCTCAAAAGAGGCAGTACTCTTTTGAATACAGAAGTTTTCACTTGTTTGTTAAAAGAGCTTCTGCACAGCAAAATAAACTATCATTAGAGTGAACAGGCAACCTACAGAGTGGGAGACATTTTTTTTTTTTTTTGAAATGGAGTCTCTCTGTCACTGAGGCTGGAATGCAGTGGCACGATCTTGGCTCACTGCAACCTCCACCTCCCAGGTTCAAGCGTTTCTCCTTCCTCAGCATCCCCAGTAGCTGAGATTACGCGCACATGTCACCACGCCCAGCTTTTTTTTTTGTATTTTTGGTAGAGACGAGGTGTCAACGTGTTGGTTAGGGTAGTTTTGAACTCCTGATCTCAAGTGATCTGCCTGCCTCAGCCTACCA